ATGTCGACCACGAGCGTGGCGCGGGAGGCGTTCGACTCCTTCTTTTCCGGAAGCCACCAGAAGTGCGGGCAGCTGCTCGAGCAGATCGGCAGCTTCAAGGGCTCACCCGACGTGAAGGTGTCGCACAACGCCCTCGTCAACGAGTACTACAAGTCGGGCTGTGCCAGCCCGCAGAAGCTGCTCGCAGATCTCACCCAGGCTCTCGAGAAGGCGCGCGAGCGCGACAAGAAAGACAAGGGCCGACGAAAGCGCGACGACGACGACGAGGATGGCTACCGGGAGGACGAGGACCTCAGCGTTCTCAGGTACAACCAGGCATTGCTGTGCATCCAGCTGAGGCAGCACGCCCAGGCTGGCCACATCCTGGAGGAGCTCTTCGAGAACATCGAGCCGATCGACGACTTCCTGGCAATAAAGATCTGCTTCCTGCTCCTGGAGCTTGGGGGGAGCAGCACGACTGGCGACCGAAACTTCCACGGGTCGACCTAAGCGGCGTTTTGGCTATTTCGTTGGCCGTTTTCGTTTCGCTTTCGTTTTGCAGCAAAGGTGGATAAGAGGCAAAACGATGGAAAACGAATACAGAACGGAAACGCAACACGCCGTTTAGGTCGAGCCCGCACCGAAGCTATGCCCATGACCCACACTGCTGCTTCCTACTGTCGACGCGGATAGGGTACGGCGCGGCTACAAGCTTGGCCCCCCGAGGCCAGCTTCTTCCCGTGCCCCTACAGTGGAAACCCATGCCAAGAAACGCCCTGCTTGCCTCCAGGGTGCCCTGGGTCTCCAGGGTTCCGATGGTTTTGCTACGGAGAGCGTGACGTTCCCACACCAAGAACCAGTGGGCGTCCTGGGGCCTCATACTTGGGTTTCTTGTGGAAGGCTTCTCGTGGTCGAGCTCCTGCACTCCGCCACTCCGTACAAATTCTGGCGCGAGCAGGAATTAGGCAGGCAGGTCGGTCGCCTAAACGGCACTGGCGCTGCTGCTGCCCAGATCTCCTCCGGGGCGCGCTCGGACAGGGCTCCGAGGCGAGCCCAGCCCTGGCGACGAGGGCCGCCAGGAGGCCCGAAAAGGCGAGGAAGGGGTACGGTTAAGTTAAGTCGGGCGTGTTCCTCTATGGAGGAACATTCCAGAACAGTAAAAAAATAGTATGGGGACGATTTTTCGTCTATTCTTGGATATGCTGTGAACATGTTAGACCATTTTTGATTTTCCTCCAGAATCTGCATCTGCCGCCTTGACGCGGCGGCGACCCCAGCGCTGGCGCTCAAGGCTGTGATCGTTTTTTTTCTTCACTGTTTTGCCGATCGGCGCGGGCCCCCCAACCCCCCTCCCCTCCCCCTGGAGTTGATCTTGGCTGCTTTTGGAGCCTGCTTCACGCAGGTGGCGTCTCTCCCCCATGGGACGCACTGCTGCAAGCAGTTGCACGAAGCAGAGTTCCAGAGCCAGACCCCCCCCCTCCCCCCCCCTTCCGCCGAATAAGACAACGCTCAAATACCAAACGCTCCGTCCTGTCGGAAAGCCGCGATCGTGTGAGATCGAGCGATCTGCGCGGTGCCGTGCACCGGCGCACGATAGTCGTCACGGCACGAGCCTACCTCACCGCTGGCCTTAAGTCGGGCGTGTCCCTCTACAGCAGGAATATTCAAAAGTCGCGAAAAAATGGTATGGGGACGATTTTTTGAGCGTTTTTTTGTGCATTTTTGAGCATTTTTTGAATATTATCATTTTTCGTCCGAAATCCGCCTGTAGTGGGACATGCCCGACCTAATGCCAGCTGGCATGCTCGCCTCCTCGGAGGAGCTCTGCCTGCTGCAGCGGGAGCCGGAGCAGGGGGTCACGGTGCTCGCCTACCTCGAGAAGCCCAACGCCTTCCTCACGGTCCTCCGCAGCGAGCGCCCCGCCTCCAAGCCGCTGGCCGCCCCGGCGGAGGAGAGCGCGGCCGACGGCGAGGAGGCGCCCAAGGAGACAGAAGACGGGCAAGTAGCATAGGCACGATCTCCCGGGTGCCCGCGTGGGGTTCTGCCCTGAGATCCTGGCGTTGCATTTTTTCACATCGGGCGTCTTCGCCTGCTTTCGGGCCCTGGGAGTCTCACAGACCGATCCGGCCTGAAACATGCATCAGAAAGATGGGGTCCAGGGCTCTGGCCGTTTTTTTCGTGATGCTGTAATTCCCAACCCTTGTGTGTGTTGGGTCCTCGTTTTGAATTCGCAGCGCGGCGCGTCTCCTCCTTCTGTTCCTCCCCTCCTCTGCTCTCTTCTCCTCTCCCTCCTCATCTATGTCATCATCATCACCCTGACCGTCATCATCGTCATCACCATCATCATCACCATCATCACCATCATTAACACCATCATCATCATTATCAACACCATCATCATCATCATCATCATCATCATCATCATCATCATCATCACCATCTTTATCATCATCTTTATCATCATTATCATCATCATTATCATCATCAGCATCATCAACATCGACATCAACATCAACATCAACAGCATCATCATCATCATCGTCACCATCATTATCATCATCAACATCGACATCAACATCAACATTAACATAATCATCATCACCGTTTCCGCAATCATCATCATCAGCATCATCAGCATCATCAGCATCCGCATCAGCATCATCACACGCATCATCGTACTGATTATCATCACCGCCCCCATCAGTATCAGCATCATCATGACCACCACCATCACCATCACCATCACCATCACCATCACCATCACCATCACCATCATCATCACCATCACCATCACCATCACCATCATCATCATAATCATCATTTTCAACATCAACATTCATATCATCATCAACATCAGCAGTATCATCATCATCATCAGCATCATCATCATCACCATCATCGTCATCATCACCATCACCATCACCATCACCATCCTCATCATCATCATCAACATCATCGTGGTCATCATCATTGTCATCACTATCAGCACCATCATCATTACCTTCGCGCGATGAAGTTTAGGAAAGAAATCAGTGCAACATGCGCCATGGTGTTCCCTGAGGGAATCGTGTCTGGCGCAGGTTGCTGTATCTACGATCCGACGGCAGTGTTGCGCAGTGTAGAGTTGTATTTCGATAGCAATCCTTGATCTTAGCTCTTGCACTTATTTGTATCTTGAGGCTGCGTGCGGCTTGAAATTGCTCAGGTGCTGGTGCTGCTGCCGGTGCTGCTGCTGATGCTCCTTCCGATGCTCGTGCAGTTGATGCTGTTGCTGCTGTTGCTGGTGCTGGTGCTGGTGCTGGTGCTGCTGCTGGCTCTGCTGCTTGTGATGCTCCTGCTGGTGGTGGTGCTGCTGCTGGGGCCATCTTGGGGGTAGGTGGAGAAAGCGGATGATGATGATGATGATGATGATGATGATGATGATGATGATGATGATGATGATGATGATGATGATGATGATGATGATGATGAACAAATCGATGTCGCTTCTCCGATAAAGTTTAAGATGGGAATTCGTGCAACATATGCCGTGAGGTTCCCTGTGGTAAACGTCTGTGGCGTCTTACCGCGGCGGCTTGATTGGCAACACCAGTGAGTTGGGAGACCTCTTGCAGCGACGGGTGTCGGTGGTGCTGTAGCTGATGGTGTCTTTGGTGTTGTCGTTGTAGTTTGTGCTTATGGTACCGCTGCTGCTGGTGTTGATATTAGTGTTACTGCTCGTGCTGTTGGTGCTAGTGATGCCTGGGACCATCTTGGGGGTAAGAGGAGGAGTAGGAGGAGGAGGAGGAGGAGGAGAAGGAGGAGGAGGAGGAGGAGCAGGAGCAGGAGGAGGAGGAGGAGGGGGAGGGGGAGGAGGAGGAGGAGGAGGAGGAGGAGGAGGAGGAGGAGGAGGAGGAGGAAGACAACCAGGTAAGGAGGACGGGAAGGAGGAGGAGGAGCAGGAGGAACGCGGCGCGAGGAGGATGAAGAGGAGCAGGGAGGCGACAGGAAAGAAGCAAGGAAGGGACGGACGATGACAAGGAGGACGAGGAATCGGGCTTTGGGGGTATGTCGAGGTGAGGGGTTCTTCGACGACTCGTAATGCCGTTTGGGCGCCATCTTGGGGCCCTCTTGGGGTCCTCTCGGGGCCTTCCTGGGGCCCGCTTGGGGCTCTCATGGGTGGTCTTGGAGCCCTCTTGGGGCTCTGTGGGGGGGGGGTCTGGGAGGTCTCTTGGGGCCGTCATGGGTCCCACTGTTCAAAAAGAGGTGGGCTTTAATTCCCGCCGCCCCTTCGGATGCTCAAACATGCTGTCTTGGGGTCCTCCTGGCCCGCTCTTGGAGCGCTCTTGGGCGCTCTTGGGACCGTCTTGGGGGCCTCTGGGGCCCCTCTTGGGGCGATCTTTGGCCGTCTTAGGGCCATCTTGAGGCCTCAAGAGCCCATCGGAGGCGAAAAAGCGAGAACGCCAACAACATTGATTTTCCTTAGGCTTTTGAGGGATTTTGGCTTCTTGGGGGGGTCCTTGAAGGGCTCTGAGGGCACTTGAAACCGTCTTGGGGCAGTCTTGAGACCTCTTGGATGCGTGTCGGAGGCTATCTTGAGCCATCTTGGGGTATCTTGGGCGATCTTGGAGGCCATCTTGGGCTATTTAAAGCCCTCTTGGAGGTATCTTGGGCCAAAAAGAACGCTCTGACACATCGCGGGGGAGCCCGTCTGGACCCAGGACGGGGGGGAGAGGTAACTCCCGAGCAGGGAAAGGAAGGAGGCTGGAAAAGAGAACGCCCTGGACCACCTGCGCCCAGGGGGCTGGTGGCACCGTGGCTCTCGCCTTCGCGCCGCGAGCATTCGTTTGAAACATTCGCAAGGGTATCACGGATTGAGGGTGGTTCATTTTCAAAATGTGGCTCTCGCCTTAGCGCCACGCACATTCGCTCTAAACAATCTGCAAGAGTTTCACGCGTTGAGGGCGGGTGGTTTTAAACATATGGCTCTCGCCTTAGCGCCGCGCACATTCGTCTTGAACATTTGCAATAGTTCCACGGATTGAGGGCGGGTGGTTTTCAAAATGTGGCTCTCGCCTCAGCGCCGCGCACACTCGTTTTAAACATTCGCAAGAGTTTCACGGACTGAGGGCGGCTCGTTTTCAAGGCGCCGCGCATATTCGTTTTGAACGTTTGCAAGAGTTTCACGGATTCCCATGGTGAACGCACCAGAAACAGTGTTTCTGAAGGACTCAGGGTTGTGAGGGTGCAACAGTTGCGTGGATTCGCAGTGTTAAATTCCCAGGAACGGTGTTCTCGTACGATTCAGGATCGTCAAGACGCAACAGTCAGGTCGATCCGTGCCGTTGGAGTCCCGAGATAAGTGTTTTGGCACGCTTCATCAGGGTCTTCAAACGGTTGTCTCCCAACGAGGGAGCTAGCTCTCTCAGTGGACGTGAACACTTGTAGGTGCCCACGACGAGGGAGCCTGGAGGGAGGGTTTGTTCCGACATCGTTGATGAGTCTTGGGTTCACACTGGTCCTCCTCCTCCTCCTCCTCCTCGAGGGCCCGCCCGGGGCGTGCTCGCCCGGCGGCGTTTGGCCGCACCGCGCGGCCACCGTCGGCCGAGCCAGGCCTTCACCCCATCAGCCCGCGGGGGGCTGGCCGGGGGCGTGCGGCACGTGGCCCTCCCCGTGGGCTCTCGCCTCCTCGCTGCCCTCCTCGCTGCCCCCCTGGCTCTTCTGCCTCAAGCAGTGGCGAAGCGTCCTGGCGTGCCCATAGGCCTGCCACACAATGTTCCAAGAACCTCCTGTGGTTTCCGCGACATGTTCTTGGAGCACTTCTGGCAGGGACCGTCTTGTTTTGACACATCGGGTGAATGTCTTAAGAACATTCATTACCTAACAGCGAAGACTGATAGGGTTCTAATGGGCTAAAAAGAGAGCAGCAGATGACTCCACAGGGGGGTCTGGGCGGGTGCCGGACAGGGTGCCGCAGAAGTCGTTTTAAGCCAACAGTCACACACTTCGTGCTCTTCGACCTCCCAGAACTCCATTCCCGGGCCACATTCTGAATGCCCGGAGCCAACTGTAGGCCACTTCGTGCTCTTCGACTTCCCAGAACTCCATTCCCGGGCCACATTTTGAATGCCCGGAGCCAACTGTAGGCCACTTCGTGCTCTTCGAGTTCCCAGAACTCCATTCCCGGGCCACATTTTGAATGCCCGGAGCCAACTGTAGGCCACTTCGTGCTCTTCGAGTTCCCAGAACTCCATTCCCGGGCCACATTTTGAATGCCCGGAGCCAACTGTAGGCCACTTCGTGCTCTTCGAGTTCCCAGAACTCCATTCCCGGGCCACATGCCCGTTGAGGCTGAGGCATGCTGCTGAGGCAGGCTGAGGCTGAGGCTGAGGCAGGCTGAGGCTGAGGCAGGCTGAGGCTGAGGCTAGGTTGAGGCTGAGGCTGAGGCTGAGGCGGCTGAGGCAGGCTGAGGCAGGCTGATGCTGAGGCTGAGGCTGAGGCTTGCAGGCTGAGGCTGAGTAAAGGTTGAGGCTGAGGCTGAGCTGAGGCAGGCTGAGGCTGAGGCAGGCTGAGGCTGAGGCTGAGGCAGGCTGAGGCTGAGGCTTAGGCAGCTGATACTGAGGCAGGCTGAGGCTGAGCTGAGGCAGGCTGAGGTGAGGCTGGGCTGAGGCAGGCTGAGGCAGGCTGAGGCAGGCTGAGGCTGAGGCGGCTGAGGCTGGCTGAGGCAGGACTGAGGCTGAGGCTGAGGCAGGCTGAGGCTGAGGCAGGCTGAGGCTGAGGCCGAGGCTGAAGGCAGACTGAGGCTGAGGCTGAAGCAGGCTGAGGCTGAGGCAGGCTGAGGCTGAGGCTGAGGCTGAGGCTGAGGCTGAGGCTGTGGCTGTGGCTGAGGCTGAGGCAGGCTGAGGCAGGCTGAGGCAGGCTGCTGAGGCAGGCTGAGGCTGAGGCTGAGGCTGATGCAGGCTGAGGCTGAGGCTGGCTGAGGCTGAGGCCGAGGCTGAAGGCAGACTGAGGCTGAGGCTGAAGCAGGCTGAGGCTGAGGCCGAGGCAGGCTGATGCTGAGGCTGAGGCAGGCTGATGCTGAGGAAAAGGTTGAGGCTGAGGCTGAGGCAGGCTGAGGCTGAGGCTGAGGCAGGCTGAGGCTGAGGCAGGCTGATGCGGAGGCAGGCTGAGGCTGAGGCTGAGGCTGAGGCTGAGGCTGAGGCTGATGCAGGCTGAGGCTGAGGCAGGCTGAGGCTGAGGCCGAGGCTGAAGGCAGGCTGTGGCTGAGGCTGAGGCTGAAGCAGGCTGAGGCTGAGGCTGAGGCAGGCTGAGGCTGAGGCTGAGGCAGGCTGATACTGAGGCAGGCTGAGGCTGAGGCTGTGACTGTGACTGCCGTTGCCACTGCGACTGTCATCGCGAATGCGACTGCGACTGCGAGAACAGGAGAATTCTACAACTGGATTCTCATCTGGATCTTAAGGGGAATGTTTCCATATATGCTTCTACACATCGCTGTTAGGTTGCTTTGCCGGGATACTTGTCTTTGTTCTTAGAACATTTTTGGGTTCCAAGAGCATGTCGTGGTAGGCCGATGGGAATGCCGGGACGGTCGGTCCCTGCTCCTCTTCCCCACTGTTAAGTCGGGCCTGTCCCTCTACAGGAGGAATATTCAAAGTTAGTGAAAAAATAGTAGGAGGACGATTTTTACCTAACAGCGAAGACTGATAGGTTTCTAGTGGTGTCAAAAGAGAGCAGCAGATGACTCCACAGGGGGGTCCGGGCGGGACCCGGGGCGGCTGCCGCCGAAGCCCAAATCGCTTGGAACATCCTCGCAAAATCGCTCTTGGCGCTGCTAGAACTCCATTCCCGGCGTATATTTTGGATGCCCAGAGCCAACTGTAGGCCACTTCGTGGTCTTCGAGTTCCCAGAACTCCACTCCCGGCGTACATTTTGGATGCCCGGAGCCAATTGTAGGCCACTTCGTGGTCTTCAAGTTCCCAGAACTCCATTCCGGGCCACATTTTGGATGCCCGGAGCCAACTGTAGGCCACTTCGTGGTCTTCGAGTTTCCAGAACTCCATTCCCGGGCCACATTTTGGGTGCCCGGAGCCATCTGTAGGCCACTTCGTGGTCTTCGAGTTCCCAGAACTCCATTCCTGGGCATGATTTTGAATGCCCGGAGCCAACTGTAGGCCACTTCGTGTTCTTCGAGTTCCCAGAACTCCATTCCCGGGCCGCATTTTGAATGCTGAGGCAGGCTGAGGCTGAGGCTGAGGCTGAGGCTGAGGCTGAGGCAGGCTGATGCTGCAGGCTGAATGCTGAGGCAGGCTGATGAGGCTGAGGCTGAGGCAGGCTGAGGCTGAGGCCGAGGCTGAAGGCAGACTGAGGCTGAGGCTGAAGGCAGGCTGAGGCTGAGGCTGAGGCAGGCTGAGGCTGAGGCTGAGGCAGGCTGATGCTGAGGCAGGCTGAGGCTGAGGCTGAGGCTGAGGCTGAGGCAGGCTGAGGCTGAGGCCGAGGCTGAAGGCAGACTGAGGCTGAGGCTGAAGGCTGAGGCTGAGGCTGAGGCTGAGGCAGGCTGAGGCTGAGGCTGAGGCAGGCTGAGGCTGAGGCTGTGACTGCGACTGCCGTTGCCACTGCGACTTTCATCGCGAATGCGACTGCGACTGCGAGAACAGCAGAATTCTACAACTGGATTCTCATGTGAATCTTAAGGGGAATGCTTCCAGATATGCTCCTGCACATCGCTGTTAGGTTGCTTTGCCGGGATAATTTGATTATTTTTTGGGCCATTTTGGGGTACTTTTTGAGTATTTGTTATTTCTGTCCAAAATCCCCCTGTAGGGGGACAGGCCCGACTTAACCCCACTGCGACGCTGCCTGGCAGCGCGAAGGCGGCCAGGAGCGGCAGGCAGAGCTTCGTCCCCGGCCCCGCGGCCTCGGCCCGGGGCTGCGGCTCGCAGGCCGCGGGGCGCTCTTCGATGTCGTGCCCTGCGGCCGCCCGCCCGCGAGGCTCGGAGGCCGCAGCCAGGTGCAGGAGGCGGCAGAGGCCCGGGGGATCCCCCGCGACGCCCTAGGGAGGAGGCTTCCGGAGACCAGGAGAAGGTTCCGGAGGCCCCTGGAATCCCAGGGAAGCAGCAGGAGACCCCCGAGGGCCTCGAGAGAGCCCGAGAGGCCCCAGGATTCTCGAGGGGGCCCCAGGTGGCCCCGGAAAGTCCCACGGCTGTCCGGGACTCTTCAGGATGGCCGGGGGAAGCTGCACGAGGCCGAAGGAGGCCCCGGGAAGCCCCCGCAGGCTCACCCGCACTGGCACTCGCTCGCACGCAGACCCGCTCATCCGCAAGAGCCCCGCGCGCACCAGCCCATGCTCAGACCCGCCGGCGCTCAAGCTCAGGCTCCCTCGCGCTGCGACGCTCAAGAGAGAGAGAGAGAGAGAGCGAGAGACCCTGAGATCCACGGCGGCGAGCAAAAGTGCAGCATCGGGAACATCACGGCCGGAGCCCCAGAGGCCCTATCTTTCTGCGACGCTCTTCGAGCCGGATCGATCCGTGAGGGTCCCAGGGCCCGACACCGGGCGACAGCGCCGGGCGGAAGGGCTGCAGCGCGCTCGGACCTGAGAAGAGGTGCACCTCCGTGCCGCACGGAGCAGCCCCTCTGCTCGGGTGACGAACTCTATACATATCCACTGCTCCCTGGGCATGCCCATCCTGGACCCAGGAGCTGTGAACATACGCCCTCCTGGCCCAGCCAGGAGAGCGTGGCGTGTGCACCGCTGCTGGGTTCACGATGGGCCTGGTCAGGGAGCAGTGGATATGTATAGATTCGGTCGCTCGTCGGTTGAACGCCTCCTGCTCCTCCCCTCGGGGAATTCCTCCTCCTCCTCCTCCTTCCCCTCCTCCTCCTCCTCCTCCTCCTCCTCCTCCTCCTCCTCCCCCTCCTCCTCCTCCCCTCCTCTCTCTCCTCCTCCTCCTCCTCCTCCTCCTTCCCTCCTCCTCCTCCTCCTCCTCCTCCTCCTCCTCCTCCTCCTCCTCCTCCTCCCGCAGAGGAGAAGCCAGGGCCCGGCGAGGCCGAGGAGGGCGCGGAGGACGGCGCGGACCAGGGCGCGGCCGACGCGGCCGAGGCCCTCGGCGACGCGGACCCGCTGCGCGCGCTGGAGGCCCGCGGCGGCGCGCCGCCGCCCGCGGAGGCGGCGGCGGAGGGCCCCCTGCCGAGCCTCGCCGTCGGGGCCTTCCTCCCGCGGCACGGGCGCGCCCCCGACACGATCTCGCGCGCGGAGTACCGGCTCCTCCCGCGGGCCGCGCGCGCGCGAGCCCGGCGTCTCGCCGCCGTCGGCCCCGTCGTGGTCCGTCGCCGCCGCCGCCGCCGCCGACGTCGTGGTCGTGGTCGTGGTGGTTTTCATGGTCGTGGTCGTGGTCGTGGTCGTCGTCGCCTCCGTCGTCGTCGTCGTCGCCGCCGCCGCCGTCGCCATCGCCTCCGTCGTCGTCGCCATCGTCGCCATCGTCGTCGTCGTCGTCGTCGTCGTCGTCGTCGTCGTCGTCGTCGTCGTCGTCGTCGGCGGGGTCGTCGTCGTGGTTGTCTTCGTCGTCGTGGTAATCGTGGTGGTGGTGGTGGTCGTCGTCGTGGTCGTCGTGGTCGTCTGCCTCGTCCCCCGTCCCCCTCCCTGCCACCAGGTAGCAGGGAGTATGCAGGGGGCAGTAGGGTGAAGGCAGAGGCTACCTCCTCCTCCCCCGTCCTCCCGCCTCCTCCCTCCCTGATCCGACTCCAGATGTCCGCCTCTCTCTCTCTCTCTCACTCCTTCTCGGCCTTGCGACCGCTTTTGCGTTTCTTCTTTTGTCCTTGGTGCCGCGACCCACGATGCTTTGCCCCCGCGTGCTGTGGCGTTGCCCCCCGCAGGCCATGTCCCCCTTGATGCTGGCCGATCACGCAGGAGCTCCGAAGAGCCATGCTGTGATCCCTGCTGCTCGGGCTTGGCTCCCCACTCCGGGACTGCTGGCGCCCCAAGCGTTGACCCCTCATGTTGGGGCAGCTTTGGCCCCTCACGCGTTGACCCCTGATGCTGGGGCTGCGGCCCCTCGCACGGTCGACCCGGGCGTCTCGTGCGTCGACCACCCGCGCGGGCCGCCGTGCGCGCTGACCCCTCCTGCCGGGGCTGCTGCCGCCTCGTGCGCCGACCGCCCGGCAGCACTGCCGGCAGTCCTGTGCTCCCGCCCGCGGAGGCACCGATCCTTTGATCGTGGACCTGCGTAGTTGCTTTCAGTTAGAGGTGGTTGCCACAGGGTATGCGGAATGCGCATGCCATCCACCAGTACTGGGTGCCAATGACGGTCCTTGCAGCAGGCTCCGAGACCAGGAGCTTTGCCCGACCAATCATCATGAGCACCGCCTCCACTTGGGGGAGCCCATGCGCCTAATCCGACTCATCAGGTTTGTGCCTACCCTAAAGGGCTTCCGCAGTACACTAGTTCTTATCCGCCTTGCCCCCAGCCCTCCTCTGGAGCCACACTCTTCGAGCAGCCGCACGAGGATTTATGGCAGTGGCGGCGGCAGAGACTGGAGTCATTGAGCCCGCTCCGTATGCCTCCATGGAGGATCTGCGGGACGCGGCCGTGTTGGTGCCCGTGTGGTGCTGTGTGGTGCCGTGCCGTGCCGTGCCGTATCTCCCGTGTGGTCCCGTGCCGTGTGGTGCCGTGTGATGCCGTGCCGTGTTGGTGCCGTGTGGTGCCGTGCCGTGCCGTGCCGTGTGGTGCCGTGTGGTGCCCGTGCCGTTGCCCGTGCGGTGCAGTGCCGTGCCCTGGCTTGCTGTGCTGCGTCTCCTCGTCGTGGTGCGGCTCTCCCGTGCCTGGCTTCTGTTGCGCTGGCCTGGCGCGACCTCGCTGGTCTGGGGCGGGGTGCCAACACCAGCTGGGCTTCGGGGCCGACGCGAGCCTCGTTTGGCAGCCGACGAGATCGCCTCGCCGCCACCCCGCGCAGGGCCGAGGTTGCGGCGTGAGCTGGCTGTTCTGCGCCTTCAAGAGTCGCTCGTCCTAAGAGGTCTCGCCTAACAGCGCCAGAGACCGTTTCCCATCCGAGGGCGCGAACTCCTCTTCCTCCTCCTCCTCCTCCTCATTCTTCTCCTCCTCCTCCTTCTTCTTCTTCTTCTTCTTCCTCTTCTCCTTCTTCTCCTTCTTCTTCTTCTTCTCCTTCCTCTCCTCCTCCTCCTCCTCCTCCTCCTCCTCCTCCTCCTCCTCCTCCTCCTCCTCCTCCTCTCCTCCTCCTCCTCCTTCTCCCCCTCCCCCTTCTCCTCCTCCTCCTCCGCCTCCTCCTCCTCCTCTTCCTCCTCCTCCTCCTCTTTCTCCTCCTCCTCCTTCTCTTCCTCCCTCATCTTCTTCTTCTTCTTCTTCTTACTTTTCTGCTTTTTCTTCTTCTTCGTCTTCTTTTCTTTTCTTCTTCTTCTTCTTGCTTCTTCTTCTTCTTCTCCTCCTCCTTCTCCTCCTCCTCCTTCGCCTCCTTGTGGGTCGTTTTCGCAGGGATGGTGGGGGGTCGTTTTTACGGCGCGACTCGGTTTCGCCTGCGGTCGGTTTCGCCTGCGGTCGGTTTCGCCCAGGATGCCCTGGTCGGTTTCGTCCATGGTCGGTTTCGCTTGGGTCGGTTTCGCCTGGGCTGGCAGTATCCTGACGGGCGTGTCGGGCGGGCGGGACACTCACTGTTTCACGGGCGGATCGGGCAGGCGGACCCTAACGGGCGGGCCGGGAGGGCGGGACCCTAGCGGACGGGTGGGGTGGGCGGGACATTAAAGCGGGCGGGCTTGCCACCGAGCGGGCCGTGAGCAGATCCAAACGGGCGGGTCGGGCGGGCGGGACCCTGACGGGTGGGTCGAGCGGGCGGGACCCCGGACGGGCGAAGGCTGCCGCGGGCGAAGCCGACCGGGGCGAAATCGACTGGGGTGAAACCGACGAGGCGAAACCGACCAGGCGATTCGGACCAGGCGAAGTCGTCTGGGGCGAAATCGACTGGGGTGAAAGCGACCGTGGTCGAAGCCGACCTGCTTCGTTTTCACAATGTTGCTCCCGCTCTGGCCTCGCGCACGTTCGTCTTATACGTCCCCAGCAGTTTCACGGATTGAGCGGATCGGTTCTTACAATTATGGCTCTCGCGTCTAGCGGCGCGCACACTCGTCTGACGCGTTCCGAACAGTTGCTCGAATGAAGGGTCGGTGGTGGCCGTTTCCAACATGTGGCTCTCGCCTCCGCGCCGTGCATAATCTTCTTCAGCGTTCGCAGCAGTTTCACATATGGGGGAGCTGGTTCTCAACATGTAGCTCTCGCCATAGCGCCGTGCACATTTGTTTCATACAACGGTTAAGTGGATGGAGTGCGGATGCAGTTTCAGCTTTGCCTAATTCGTACGATCAGAATTCTTGGTCTGTGCAACGGCAACACGCATGTATGGTTGCCCTTTTCAAATGTGGACCCTCGTATAAGTCTCAGGCTTTATGAGTGGAGCTTGAGACTTTGATAGTCGTTTGCGCACAATGAGGGCGGCTCTTTTTCAAAGTGGGGGTTTCGCTGGCCGTCCTTAGAGCTAGAGGCATGGATGGTAGCTCCCTTTCAAACCGGGGCTCTCGTTTGAATTGCAGGACCATGTGGTACTCGTCTTTCAAGGGGGCACATTCTGCAGTGAAAAGGGATTCTTGCAGGGGCTTGTGAGGAGGGGACTTGGGACAAGTGGGCGTATTGCAGTATCGTTGACGCATGTCTGGTCTACTCTGGTCCCACTCCTCCGCCTCCTGCTCGTCGTCGTCGTCCTCCTCCTCCTCCTCCTCCTCCTCCATCTCCTCTTCCTCCTCCTCCTCCTCTTCCTCCTCCTCCTCCTCCTCCTCCTCCTCCCTCACTCTCCTGCTCTTGCGCCCGCTCCTGCCTGCACCCGTTCCTGCTCTGCACTCCTCCGCACCTCCCCGCTCCAGAGATTGCGGAGAGGGACGGGAGATAGGGAGGGCCCGCGTGGCGCTGTGCTGCAAGGTTCATGTGCCTCATGTACCGCGCCCGCCTATCCGTCGCGCTGAGGAACTCCAGGGCTGCGAGGAAGGAGGTGAAGAGCGCCGTGGAGGTACCCCGCCGAGCGGGGCTGTGCCCCCGATCCGATCCGTCCGATGACGAGGGCCGCCATCTGCGTGCGGCGTTCATCGGCTCGACTACGCACTCCTGAGGGCGGTACCCACCCCATCCTTTGCGGATGGGTGTCGGCCCAGTCGATTTGACTATGCAAGCGACTCGATCGACCTACGTTTCAGTGCAGCCTCTGGACAGCCATGGTCGGGGAACCCAGAAGCCGAAGGCCCTACATAAATTCGCAGGCTGGCAGAACCTGCCTCGGAAGCTCTTCTCGAGCCCTTCTCCAGACTCACCCTGGCCAGCCCTGATCCCGGACGTGCCTCGGCCAAATCTCGACCTCGCGGACCTCGACCACGACGCCGAAGACGAACGACGACGACGACGACCGGCGACGGACGATGACCGAAGATGACGGTCGACGACGGCGGACCACCGATGGCGACCTCCCAGCCCTCGAGGTGCTCGAGCAGGACCTGCGGCACGCCCCGTTGCTCACGCCGCACCCCCACACGACTGGCACAGCGGCCGGCGGCAGCCAGGCGGAGTCGAAGCTGTGCCAGGCGCTGCACTCGCAGCACCAGGCGATGGTGAACGTGCTGAAGGCTAACCGCCGCCAGAGTGCAAACGCGCACTCCAGTGCAGTCACATGGGGCTCGCTCGGGACTGGCCCTCCTCGTCCTCCTCCCCCTAGTCCTCGTCCTCCTCCTCCTCCTCCTCCTCCTCCTCCTCCTCCTCCTCCTCCTCCTTCCCCTCCTTCTCCTCCTCCTCCTCCTCCTCCTCCTGCTCCTCCTCCCCCTCCTCCCCATCCCCCTGCTCTGCCCTTCCTCCTCACCTTCCGCATCCTCCTGACTCGACCAGGATGCTTGGTGGCTATCTCGCTCAAGTGCTGGCGCAAACCGCTCTACATCAGTCTTGCCGCCATGATTTCTCTCTCGCTTCCCCCCCCCCGCAATTTGAGGTGGTAGCGGAGCTGGGAGTAGTCCTAGCTCGCGGTCCACGGGAGGTGCGCACATGGCGATGTGGACGCATTTTCGCATGTCCCTTATTCTCCGCATTGGTACCACCCTCCACTTCCTGAACAGCCTGTGCTTACGGCTGGCTGTTCTGCAGCCTTTTGGGCAATTTGCAGCGGGCGCCCACAGGCACGATGAGGCAGACGCCAGACCGTGAATGACCCCGCGTGGCCCCCGTTGCGTGGGCAACAGACGCGCACGTGGAGGAACTCAACCCACGGGGGCGCCACGACGCCCCGGACCCCACGTCATCGCCACACCAGTATTGGTCACGGGACGCTCTCGCGTTGGGCCGCATGAGTGGGCCAGTGCTGGGGTGCGGGCTGTGCGCAGTGGTGCTGGATTACATTTTAGTGCAGACGGTGCGCGCCCGGAGTAACGTGCAGCTTGTTGACGCCACTATTTCACCAGCCAGGGGCCTCAGCACCACCATGGTTTTTCCAAGGCTTCACGTTGACGTTCGTCCTTGCGAGGGTCCGAGTCCCAAGGCGCCTACACAGTTTTTTTCGTGGTGCAGTCGTTTAGAGGAGGATCTCCACCGTGGCGCACGAGGGCAGCATCATGCCCTGCTCTGGTTCATCGTCGTGCTGCCTGGAATAAGCCGGACAGCCAGGAGGCGTAGGTGGAGGCAGAGGAGGCAATTTCCGTCAGCCACGTGCTTGTTCGCATGAGTGCGAGTCCGTCTATCGGCTGGAGCGTTTTCGTTAGTGATATGGATACTGTTCGGCAGTGCGCCGCCATCATCTTGAACTTTGGTGGCGCCGCCTAACGGAGACGTCACAGGGGGTGAACGGCCAGATGGAGGACGCCGTCACTGATTTTTGTGCGAACCTCGCGACTCAGTTCGACCCCCTTAGGCGGGGAGTCACGCCGACCAGCCACTTGTGAATTCGTTAAGCTCTTAAGGCGGCGCAACCAGACCACCAACATGCGTTGCTCCCGTGATTTGTCGTGCTGCGATTCCGATCGACACAACGGTGGAGCTGCGATATCGTGGGCAGGCTGTAGCTGGCTGCTCTTCCGAGCGGTCGGCGTCACCGCCTGTCAATTCATGGCGCTGTTCCAGCCCTGCGGCAGTCGATACCCGGAAACAGAGCCTGAGTTCAAAGCTCTCACGACCATGCTCAGGCGAGTCGGGCACATCGTGCAGCACGCGCCCAACAACATCGTAAACGCCTTGCGTTGGCTTCCGTCCATCGGAGGTTTCGTAGGCCTTGCGGACAGCCAGCTGCTGTCACTGTCACAAAAACGACAACAAGGCGAGCGCGCCGCGGACACTTGGCACGAACAAGGCCTTGACCCTTGGGCTGCGAGCGCTGCTGCCCTTCCAGGAGTTGGAGGTGCCCCTTCTGCCATCGAGCAGCTCTCGACCGAGCGCCTCGCAGCAGCAGGCCGCCTTCCCGGCCGCTGCGTGCCAGCCCACTGATGGAGCGCCCGGGAACCTGGAGTTTCTCGCTGGCAGCAGTTCAGTTGCCAGTTCAGACGCCGGAGACGCTATTGGCAATTCGTCGGAGCTGTTCCAGGGGCTCTCCACGGCTCGGATCGGCGCGCAGCTTCTCTGGCACGGGATAAACCGTGCCAACAGTGAAGACGTCACGTGAACAGGCCCATTAGAGACGATTGACGTTTCATCGAGAAGAACGGGCATGAATTCTCGGGCAGAGGCAAATGCAAGTGAGCCCAGATGTACAGCTTCCGAGCCGAGTTGTCCGACGACCAAGTCGACACCTTCTTCTGCGGAGGCAATGGCAATTGTGAGGGGGAAGGGTCCAGCGGCAACAGGTACGGGCCGCGGGGAGAGCCCGCGGGCGCGACGGGCAGGGGGTGAGGTGCAGCTTTTGCGGGGCGGGCTCCGCTTCAGAGCTGAGTGCCCGCGGGCTGGCTCTGGGGGCTCAGGTGCCCGAGGAGTTTGCTTGGATTTTGGCGTCTGCGCCGACGCGGGCCCCCGTCCGCAGCTCCTGGGGCGCCGGCCATTTTGCCGGCGCCCCTGGGTCGCCTTCGTGGTCTCCGAAAGGCATCAGCATTATTCGCGACTTCAGAGCCGCGCGACCCCCAGAGCGCCCGCCGTTCCACCGACGCCTTAAGTCTTCGACGTCTCCAGTCTTTCCCTGTGGGGTCCGTTCCCTGCCCCTGGGCGAGCGGCGCCGGCGAGCTTGTCCAGCCCCGGGGCCCCGGTAGCTGTCAGTCCCAGGCTCCGGTCACCGCGCCGGGGGGGTGTCCCTGGGAGGCCCGCGAATTGGCCGGGTTATTTCACAGCGGGGGCCGCCATCCAGCTGGCTGGGCGATTCGCGGTCCCTGGCGACTGGTGAGCCCGCGTCCCGCGTCTCGGTGGCTCTAGCCAGCTTGGCACGGCTTCGGGGGGGCCCGCGCGTGCAGGCCGCCTTCCGTTCAGGGGCCAGGCCGCCAGTGGGGGGAGATCGCCGAGGCGCCGGCCGCGGCCCCCAGGACCAACGTCGCGCGCGAACGAGCGCGTGCGATCAACGCGCGCCTCGCGGCCCTAGCAGGCCAGGGTCCGCGCGCGACGCGCAGGCGCAACCGCGTCGGGCTTAGCGCTGTGAGTGGCCGCTGCGCGTGACCAACCGCGCCTAGGATGGGCCACCTGGCGCCGCGCCGCCACCGCTGCCAGATCATGTGAGGACAGGTTCAGGCAACTGTTATGGGCGTCCACAGTGACATGTGGTGGACCTGCTTGGACGATTCTGCGAATCTCGACCTGGTTGTCTTCCTCGATTGCAGCGGCCGGCAGCGCCGGCGCTGCGCCGGCGTTGGGCCGCTGCGAGCCTCGGCGGCTCCCGGATCAGGGGCGTCGAGGCCCGCCTGCGCGGCGCCCCAGCGCGGGCGCCCCTTTCGCAGAGTCTAAATTGTCGTTGGCAATAGGGGGTGAGAACTCGCGAACATCGACGTTGCGTCGACGCCGCGAGCTTCGCCGCCAACCGAGCCAGCGGCAGCGCCGCCGCGGCCGCCTCTGCAAGGCTCGCCGCAGGGCGGCGGAGCCGAGATGCCAACTTACCCCTGGTGGCTATCGCTGCCGCGCAATCCCTGGACGTGCGAGAGCTGGCGCGCCGCCCATGCAGCCGCCGAGGAGGCGTGCATCGCTTGCTCCGCGCCCGACAATCGTGCCAGCCAGTGCGCGGCGCAGGTCTACCGCGGCCGCGCCCGCCTTCGAAGTGGACAACTGATTGTGATCGTCGACCCAGGCGCGCGGACCAACCTCGCGGGCGCAACGTTATATAGCGCGCCAGCTGGGTCGTCGTGCCGAGGAAGCAGCGCGCCAGCCGCAGCGTGTCCTTACGGGCAAACTTCAGAGCATTCTGTCGGCAATGGGGCGCAGGAGTGCCCGCCAGGCGCGCGCCCCCGTTGCCGTCGCAGGCAGCCAGGGGCGCGCTGCAGCGCGCGGCTTCTCGGCGCCCATCGTTCGATCGGGCTGGCCGTGATCTGCCTGGGCTGCTCGGACTGCGCGCGGTGGGAAGTGTGGGGGCAGGCTTGGTCGCGGGCAGCCGCGGACTTGTGGTGGTGGGCGATCTCGAGGGCGCGGCGCGGGCGCCGGGTGGAGTGCCTGAACGCGCGGTCCAACTGCGCGCCCTCCCCAATGAGGCGGAAACGGAGGGCGAGGGCGATGCGCCTGCGGCTGCTTCTACCTCGGCATCTGATGCGGCGCAGCGGCCCACCCGAAGCTCCCACGCCGCTGGCCCTGTCCGGGCCGCGCCAGCACTCCTGGCGGGGGGGCCATCGCGCGAGACATAGTTTTCGTGATAGTGCTTTCGCCCAGCTTGGTTGGACCGCGCGCGCGCGTTGCGTCCTTATTCAACCATCCTCTCGCTTTTCTCGCCCGTCCAAGGCGAAGTTGCGCGTCGCGTGCGCGGGCGTCTCCAGGCATCGCATGCGCCGGCTACTGCTAGCATGTCATTGTCGTGGGAGAAGCAACGCTCCCTGTGCAGGGATGGAGGTTGCCGCTAAGTTCGACTCCACCGTGGCTGTGGTCACGCCCCCAGCTGTGGGCATGAGGCTGATCCTCATGAGACTGTCGGCTGGGCCCCGCGCCTGATCCTCGAGCCAGCTCGCCGGCTGAGGCTGCCTTGCAGGAAGTCGCAGCCAGAGCGCAAGGGGCCGCTCGGAGTGCGTGTGCCCGCGAGAAATGGCGCACCAGGTTAGCTGCGCCACTCCGTCCAGCTAAGTCTTGGATGCGACGCGCGGTGGGGCGCGAGCACTGCGCGAAACGCGTGCGCAGGCTAAGAGGATTAAGGTCGAAGTGATGCTGAAACTGAACTTGACTGGTGCGTCACTTCGGGTTGGCCAGAGCAGAGTTCTTTGCTCGGTCCGAGTCTCTGGATGACGAGCCCGCGTCAGGTCCCGCTGCTCTGCTTGGCGAGGAGGCTCTGGCAGCCTCGTCGAGTATTCAGCGCTCTCAACCCCGGATTGTTCGTCAACCCGACAAGCCCGACTCGAACGGGAATCATATTAGCAACGAGAGTAAAGACAGTATTGGTTGCGAGGCTCCCCCCAGCTCAAGTGCGACAGCCGCCGCAGACTACTGCGCGACAGTCGCGAACGAGAGCGCGGTGTCTCGTGTGCGCGTGCTGCTTTGCGCT